CTTCAAAAACGACCCCCCCCCCCCCTGTGAAAGCCCCTAAACGACCCTCCGCTCCACCTCCAAGTCCTTAGGGTGTTATATTTTGAAGAAGACCAGCCTCAACTGCAAGTTTCTATTTTTTGAAAGTCTGTAGGCCCGACTTTCTGCGATTGCACAACCACACGCAACTTGACGGCAAGTTTTAGATCTGGATAGTCCTCTTTTCAGGGCTATAATTTTCACGGGGGTTGAGTGTTTGGCTTCAAATTTTCAATATAGCAAGAAGAGGCTTTGCGCTCAATACTCATATCAAAAAAGGGGCGATTTTTGAATGCTGAATTCAAGTTAATGGGATCAGGCGCAACCCCCCAAAAGCTCAGGCTGCCTGACCTTTTGAGGGGTTGCGCCTGACCCCATTAACTTTATTTCCGAAGAAGCTTTTCTATCCGAGTTTTACGTGATTCGCTAGCTCAATCCTCGAAGATTCCATAGTAAGTATTTGAGCTTGATTCGACTTGTTTCGGCCTTGTGCTAATCCGAGAAATTGAAGCACTCATGAGAAACGCGCCGTTGGAATTTTGGCGCATTTCTTACTTCACTGTTTGAAAGCGATATAAAGTCCGATTTGTAGCATAGATTTGTAGAGAACATTACTTTGTTATGAGTATTCAATAGCTGACTTTTCCCACTTCTGAAACCAAGTTGATCACGTTTGAAAATCACGCTTCTTAGGCGTTGAGAAACACTAGAAACTGCAGTAGGTAATGGTTTGTAGAGTGCCTAGAGGTAGTTTGACATGCTGATTATGGAAATGATACTCATTTCACACAGCAAGCTTCCTTGTTTACCTCATATGTCAAGGTAAAAGAGCCCCCAGGTCGGGCGCGCCTGATCCCACGCTCAACCCTGGTTGCGACGTCGCACGCTTTCGCGTCGCCGCCCTTCGTTGCAACTGTTGTTCGATTTGTGCCCACATCTCCTGAACGAATATTGACGGCACGACTCTACAGAGTCACTTGAAAAGTAGAAGCTTAGGCCTTTGACTAGATAATCTTGGACTAAAAAAACTTCCTGTAAACGTCAGAAAGATCCTTCAAAACAGCGTGCTGCACCATGTGCAGCACCGGTCCGAAACGTGTTAAGCCCCACTACTATGAACTAGTGCGCCATCTCTGCTTCGTGGAGTCATTGGCAAACACAGTAACATCATCATGTCAACAACACAGAAATTTCCAGCTCGCTTGTTTGAGAATAAGAGAAGTTTCAAGGCAGTCTCAAGCAGTAAAGTGCGGTTCATAATTATACGAACACTCCAAATTTTGAAATTTTCTGAACTTTTTGGAAGATATTCAAAAAGCCGTTGGACAGCCGAAAACGGTATATGATCCATAGGAATGGAAATCGATGCCTTATTTAGGAGTGTTTTTGCGCCTAATGCTAATTTTTAGCGGTTCATAATTATAAGAACACTTCAAACAAAGGTCCATTTTCCAATCAAGATTGCAATCGTTCGAGTCCAAATTTTTTGTAGAGTTACAGTAACAAAGTCTGACATATCTGCTATATACTGGACCCAGTGTAGCTCAAAAAAGGATCGCTACTTTTTTCAGATGGCTCTAAGCGCTTTTAAAGTCTTTGCGCTTCAAAAACATCCGTTCTTCTGCGGTTTACGCACTCTAATTAGCTTCTATCAAAGCTATAAGATAAAATAAGCTTTTTCGATTTGCATTTTGTTTGGCGCCTGGAAAATCTTAATATTTTTTTGCCGTTTTTCAACCAAGTCCAACCTTACCCTAAAGTTGGTGCGATTTAAAACCTCTAAACACAGCTTCTGAAGCCCTACAATGAAGTAAGCTTATAGTATGTAGAAGTTTACAAGACTGTGTATTTGACTAGAAAAAACCAGCAGCATTGAGCGTTTGTTTTGGCCACGCAGACGTCATTTCACGAAAGTCACTGTTTTTACTATTGCAATCACACCTTTATCTGGTTTGTAGCTCCAGAGCCTCAAAATCATCTCTACAAAAAACCCAAAAACTTTGGCACGGATACGTCATCATGCAAGCAATGCAGCTGCTTCATATCAGATGTTTGCGAGAGAGAGAAGATGAGTTTTGAGGCTCGAAATCCTGCTAACTGTAGGGTAAGATTGGAACTTGGTTGAAAAGCGGCACGAAAATGCAAAAATTTTCCAAGCGTCAAACAAGATACCTATCGAAAGAGCTTATTTTATCTTATAGCTTTGATAGAAGCTAATTAGAGTGCGTAAACCGCAAAAGAACGGATGTTTTTGGAGCGCAATCACTCCAAAAGCATTTAGACCCATCTGAAAAAAGTAACGATCCTCTTTTTGAGCTGCACTGGGTTCAGTGTGTAGCAGATATGTCATGTTTGTTACTGTAACTCTGCAAAAAATTTGGACTCGAACGATTGCAATCTTGATTGAAAAATGGACCTTTGTTTGAAGTGTTCGTATAATTATGAACCGCTAAAAATTCGCATTAGGCCCCGGGCAGACTTCACGCGATTTGATCGTCGCGACTGAGTCGCGACGAGAAAACTGTTACTACAACATTCCATGCCGATCAACTTGCATTCGGTTGTGATACTTTTCCAGCCGACATTTTTGAAAGTGAAATGAAAATGAATGGAAATCTTGGCGATTAGATCGCGACGATCAAGTCGCGTGAAGTCTGACCGGGGGGCCTTAGGCGCAAAAACACTCCTAAATAAGGCATCGATTTCCATTCTTACGGATCATATACCGTTTTCGGCTGTGCTCTATCGCGTGGTACCAACGGCTTTTTGAATTTCTTCCAAAAAGTTCAGAAAATTTCAAAATTTGGGGTGTTCGTATAATTATGAACCGCACTTTATATATTGACAGGTAAGACTTGAAGCCCTCGGTTAGGCGAGCGGCTAAAGCATGGGGTGGTGTATGGAATGCAGACGCTCACCTTTATCTTTATCTTCTACACCACTCAAGATATACCATCCAAGCTATGTAGATACTGTGTTGATTTACTGTGCAGCCACTCCGAGATTGGTAAATATACAGGGTGTAAAAAATGTTTCGAACGTTTGATCGTTAATACCTCTCTTCCCAAGAAGTCTTTTGCCTTGCTTCAGGGACCGTTTTGTAGAGCTGGCTTCAACTTAGATTTTCATTATAGAACGAATCACCCATCTCTCTTCGTTACTGTAGGATTACGGTAGAAACTTGAAACATGTGGTGTCAATGTGGAAAAAAGCTGCCGTTTCAAAATTTTTCAAATAATTGTGAAAACTTGTGTAAAAGGTTTTTTATGGACGCTGAGTTCAATACTCAACTGTTCACAAGGTTACGAAGTTTTCTAAACGGTGTAATCGCACTTTTTAGGAACATTGAAAAAATGGCCGCTACCTCTTACCTGGCATAACTCTTCAATGAAGCATCATAATAAGTCGGAAACTTTACAGTTATAATCAGCAACTCTAATTAGCCTAGTGTAGAAGCTTTCAGGCTGTTTTGTTTCTTTTCTGAGGCAAAATATGGTCTTTCATTGCTTAAAACCCTCTTTTAAGTTTCTATCGTAATCCTACAGTAATGAAGAGAGATGGGTGATTCGTTCTATAATGCAAATCTAAGTTGAAGCCAGCTCTACAAAACGGTTCCTGAAGCAAGGCAAAAGACTTCTTGGGAAGAGAGATATTAACGATCAAACGTTCGAAGCATTTTTTTGGGACACCCTGTATTTATTAGGCTGACCTTTCGGCTATGTCGCCTTCTTCAGAGCCTGAAATGGGCGACAACAATCTATAAACTATCCGATCCTCAGCCTCACAAACAGAATCCTAAGCTTTCTTTCGGATCACAGGCAAGCTGCCACACGCAATATTCACCTCTTCGATCGCCGGTAAAATTCTCGAGTATAAACGAGCGCTGACCGTTAACGTAAGTGGATGATTAAACATGTCTTCACGGGATCAGAAAACCTGATCTAGATATGGTGCGAGCTCGCGTTTGATAGAAAGGCATTCTTCTTTGCGATTCAGTTTGGGTTGTTTGAAATGAATCCAAAACGCTTCTAAATGCAAGTAGATGTTTGAGATTCACGCGCTAAGATTTCTACATTTACTTCAAAATTCACTCCTTCATGCTCTTGCACTCTATGGGCGCCCAGTGGAGTGGATAGGCGTGATTTTTCTTTGCCATTCAGATGTTCCTTGATGCGTACGCATAGGGGAGGCGCTGTTTCACCGATATAGTCGGCGCCACAATCCTTGCACGAGATGAGGTAGACAACTCCCGCGCTCATGCAGTCGCCGTCCTTTGCTGTGGGACATACTAGACAGTTTGACGTAGTGCAATTACGGTCGTACATGCGATTCCGAATAAGAATGCGTTTTAAATTGTTCGGGCATGTCCACGACCAAAACTGAATTGTTCAACCCTGCTCTCCTCAGACATCGCCGAATGGCGGTGCACCTCATCGGAGATGAAGGGTGTACAGAAAGGTATCTTCTCTGCTGCGGATGATGCTCCCCTTTCTACAAAGCTGCTTTGTTGGGCCGGCTCTACAATGTTTTTATAACCGTTAGATAAAATTATCTTACGCGCAATGGCTAACGACTCCATCTTCTCCTCTCGTCCACTACACACCTTTGCAGCTGTACGAAATGTTTTTGCTCACTGCTTTTTTAGTCTGCAGAGCTAAGCGGGACTGGATGAGAATGTTGTTGTTACTGGGCTTTCGATACCACTTCGTTTTCTGATTGCCATCATCATCCTCGGACACAGGAGCTCTATTTTTTGGTAAACAGCATGGCCAAACAATTTGTATCTCGCGCAGCATTATCCCGATCACATGCATTTGTCCGTGTTTTCTTGAGAAGCTATGTCCACACCAGGCATTCCAGCGCGAGTTAACCGCGAATGTCTGAGGTGCCAGCAAGATCCAATGCGTGATATCTCAGAGAATGAATCGGGTATATAAAGTTTCAATCTGACATGGCGATGATTCTCATGCCTTTACTGTGGCATGCGGTGGTTGCTCAACGCTTTTGTCGGACTGTTGTTTGAAGTTTGTGAAGCTGTTCTGTCTCTCTGAATATTCACAAGCAATTTTACAGTTGCCTCCGGCTGAGCAAGTACAAGTGAAAGCTTCTTCCACAATGGTGAGCAACTCCTTTACTGCTCAAATTTGAAAATCTTCAAAGTGAAGTCGAGCTTAGTTTGCGCAGCAAAAGTCATCGCATAATTTCGTGAACCTAATATGTTTGAACGGGCTAAAGTAAATGTTTTCCAGCCTCTTTTACTTTTTTAGGGAAGTGCTTCATCAGGTGCTGCCACTACTCGTGAATCTTCCTTAACTTTTACATCTACTAGCGTATATTCTCCGGCAACGAAGTCGTCCAAAAACAATTCTACTACAGCCAGCCTCCTTTTGGCTATGTCAGCATATTACGAGTAGGTGGTTTTTACTACTTTACAAAAAACGAGTAGAAATCTTGTTGACTGGGTGATTGTACAGAATATTGACGCTTTAATTTGAGAAAGAGATGTTATGCCTATTCGTTTCTAATGGCTGCAAGGAAGGGATGAGTAGTGAAGCTATTGATACAGATAACAAATTTAGCCTACTCATTCTGATGCACTTTTATGGGAGAGTAGGTGCTGTAGCTTGGTTTTTAGGAATCGAAAATGCCTATGCCTTTTACAGATGTTTTGTGACATGCCTCAACAGTCTTCTAGAAATCAACAGCTATCACCAAGCACAGGGTCAACCTGGGGTGGCTCAGCTCGATTTGTAGAACACTGCCAAGGCCTCCGAAGATGAAGGTGCGCCGAAGCGTTAGCTTTTCTATTAGGGTTCCCTATTGATTATCGGTTCGAAAAAAGAAAGAGAAATGTGTAGATCTTATTCGCTAATATCTGTGTTTCCATGGGCTTATGCTGGCGATTAGATACCATTCTGAAGAGCTGCTTTGATCTATATACAGTACTAGTTGGCCTTCCCGGTCCAGCCCGGGGAATTGTTCACTACCTCCCCCCCCCCTTATGTTATGGATGACTGGGACACCCTGGGACATCCACTTCGAAACCGCATCCTCGTGCTCCTGAGGTGAAAATGAGCTTCACCGCCCTCCTTTACATGAAGAGAAAGTGCTTGATTAAACATGATAAGTTTATAAGTCGATAGAAGGACCCAGAGAATTGCATTGAAAGGTAGACTGAAACCGTCTCCGGGGTCGAAAACATCTGTGTGCAAACTTTCAGCCCAATCAATTGAATGGCGCACGTTTCTATAACTCACATGCCCTCCAAACAGAAAATTTTTGAGTTTTATATAAAGAGATGAAGCAATTCACTGATTGCTTTTCATGACCGTAGGATTACGGTGAGAAGTTGCAGCTACAGTATCGATAGGCTTTTTTATTACATAACTAACAAATAAATCTGTGAAAATGCTTAGCAGTGTTCTTACTCATGTTGTCATCAACCCAACTTTTTACGAGTTTTCGAGCTTTTGAAGTGGTTTAAGCACATTATGAAGACACGAAACCGTTATTGGAGTATACTTGGCACAATCTATAAAAGAAATATTACGGAAAAGTGCGATTTCCATTTGTAATTTCTCAAAACTTTTCCAAGGTCGCCACCGTAATTTTGCAGTATCGCAGAGGGAGGTGAGTTGCACTTTACCCTAAACAACTGGAGTCCAAGCCAGCTGTACATAGCGTTAATGAAAATCTGGCAAGAGACTGCGAGAAGAGAGAAACAATGTTTACATACTTTTAGAACATCCTGTATATAAGACTAGATGTACCTTGCTTCGTCTGCCCAGTCTGTGTTAGAGATTGTCAATCCCTACTTGTGTACAATAATTTCTGCCTTTGTCCCCCAAGTGCCGATTCCCCCCCCCCCCCCCCCTCCCCTCCCTTCCACCCCATTTCCCACTATGTTTTGTAACCAACACTTCACTTCCCTGTGCAAGTTCCCAGTTCCGTGGTGGCTCATCTTAGAAAAACTCGGCCAAATCGATATCGAATGATAAAGAAAGTTTGCGAAACCTTTCTCCAAAGTAAACGTTCAAAGTTTGGTTTCAATCAATTCAGAAATGAGTTTTCTAATCGCAACCTACGAGCATATATCAATCTACTGCCGGACGAAACGCAAAACCCTGAAAGCGCGAACGCGGTTTTAGCAACCAAAGGAGCATGGGGCGCAATGCAACGTCTGTAAATACGCGCTCCCGCGTTCGCACCAGCTTAGATGATTTTGCTTTTGCACTTACAAGGAAAGTTCACTTAGTCGAAGTGGCGATTCGGAAGGAGATCTACACCAGTGGATAGAGCTTAAAAAGCTGATCTCAGATATACCTTCTATATCTGCGATGCGTTGTTCTGAAAAAGTTATGAGCTTTTTTAAAGCCAAATTTTCGTGCATTTAGTCGCAAAATCATGATAATCGCTACAGAAAAGTGTGCAAGCTTAAGCAAACCACCTAGTAAGCATTGTAGGTCTAATTCAACTTCATCCGAACGTCTTCGAGTGTTTTCCGACCATGTTCTTCATCCACAGATCGTCATTTCATTCCTAGATCACACTTCCTTATAAATACAAAAAAACCCATAACCTCCATCTAGAAGAACGTGTCGCAGATATTGAAGATATATTAGGTTGGTGCAAAAGTTCTTTCCGCCCAAATTCAAAAATTCATAACTTGTTGAATTCTCAACGAATCTGCAAGATCTAAAATTTGCTTAAGAGAGAAACTCATGCTCTTTGCATCTGTACCTGAACTGTTCGTTAATGTTTACAAATGAAGGAGATAGAAGCTCAAAACCAAAATCACTCAAAATTTGAATTTTTCGTGTAGGGTCATAAAAAATCGGAAACTTACAGCAAAAATTGGAGCAGTCGGTATTGTAGGTTACTTCACCAGCTCTTTCTAACGGTGCAAAGTTTGCGCTGATTGAGCATCTCTATCAAAAGTTATGAATTTCGAGCAAGCAATACAAAAGGGCGAATTTGATTTATTGTGGCATTTTTCAGGGAAATCATAACTTTTCATAGAGACGCTCAATCGGTGCAAACTTTGCACCGTTAGAAAGAGCTGGTGAAGTAACCTACAATACCGACTGCTCCAATTTTTGCTGTAAGTTTCCGATTTTTTATGACCCTACACGAAAAATTCAAATTTTGAGTGATTTTGGTTTTGAGCTTCTATCTCCTTCATTTGTAAACATTAACGAACAGTTCAGGTACATATGCAAAGGGCATGAGTTTCTCTCTTAAGCAAATTTTAGATCTTGCAGATTCGTTGAGAATTCAACAAGTTATGAATTTTTGAATTTGGGCGGAAAGAACTTTTGCACCAACCTAATATTTGAGAACAACGTTTTACGTTCTATCTTGGTAGTTTCCAACAAGTTTCCGACGGGACGCGTTTTTCTAGATGGAGATTATGGGGCTTTTTGTATTCATAATGGAATTGTGATCTAGGAATGAAATGATGACCTGTGGATGGACATCATGGTTGAAAAACACTCGAAAGCGTTCGGATGAACTCGAAATAGACCTAAAATGCTTATTGTGGTTTGCTTAAGCTTGCACACTTTTCTGCAGCGATCATCATGATTTTGCGACTCAAAATGCACGAAAATTTGGCTTTAGAAAAGCTCATAACTTTTTTCAGAACAAAGCATCGCAGATATAGAAGGTAAATCTGAGATCAACTTTCTGAGCTCTATCCACCGGTATAGATCTCCTTCTGGATCGCCATTTTGAATAAGTGAACTTCCCTTGTTAGTGCCGCAGTTCCCTTGAATACGTACAGACAGACATTCAGCTTTATATACTAGACTAATTGGTGTGCACGGTCTCGCCCAGGCCACCGTCCACGTCTGGATGAAAGATATTCTGAATTAAGCCTTGGCATTAGCTCATGCGATTTCAGTCACAACGCAATCTGGCAATATTTCAATCGTCCATAACCAGGGTCAGCGATAACATGATATTTATAAACAGTTTGTTAAATAACTGATCATGCGAAATACAAGCACAATATTGACTTGTCATCGTGTATTAGGTTGCTGCATAAGTTCTGTCCGATTTTTTTTGCCTTAGGTTTGAAGCAGCTGTTCTAAGAGAATTTCATCTCTAAGGCCCCGGACAGACTTCACGCGATTTGATCGTCGCGACTCAATCGCGACGAGACAACTGTTACAATATCATTCCATGCCGATCAACTTGCATTTCGGTTGAGATACTTTTCCACCCCGAAATTTTTGAATGTGAAATGAAAATGAATGGAAATGTCGGCGGTTGAGTCGCGATCAAATCGCGTGAAGTCTGTCTGGGGCCTAATGCGGTATTGTTAGAATCGTTTGAAAGTGCTTTTCTTGCGCTTTCTAAAGCATATTAGATTTCAATAAATTTCTAAGTGTAAGGAGATTTCAGGCCTAAAATCTCCAAGTGGCCGAGGTACGTTCTCACCCTAGAAATATGTTCTTGCGAGGAAATCTCCATAATGCGCCCTTCAGGTCAAGTTTTTTAATTGGTTGCGGAATAAGGGTGTAACAGGCTAGCATACGCATAAGTTCAGTTTCATGACGAAAACGTCTTGCTAGTAAAATTTATTGTCAAACATAAATTTTCTGTATAGATGTTTTGCTAGCAATAACTTCCCGCGAATAAAAGTAATCGATGAGTTCAAAGTTGGAGGTGCTAGAGTAAAGCAAGAGCTAGCAAAGCCCATCCATTAATTCCTTTTCTCCGCTCACGCCAATTGTAAAATTTTCATTACTCGTAAATAGGCATGCACACATGAGCTGAAGCGAGGTCAAAAAGTGGCTTCTTTTTGACTCGGTCGAAAAAATCTCTCGGCAGCGTAGACCCTATGGGCTCTTTTATGTTGCAAAATAATCTACAAAAATTTCTCTATCTATCCATTGTGTTAGATAAGATGTGCCTATCTATTCTCGTAAGAAGCATTACCATGTCAAAAAAGACAGGTTCAAAGAAAAACGCTGTGATTTGAGTTCTTGCTTCTTTCTTAACAAGTATTTTCGCAGATCTCAATATGTCTCTGATAGCCAAGGAATTGCTCAACACATGGAAATTGAAATCTTGGAAAAAAGTTGGCTTTGAAAGAAGTTATGACATTTTGAACTCAAAAAATCCAAATCGGACAGAACTTATGCAGCAACCTAATACGTATCATAGCACAATGGATGCCCTATTGAGCATAATAAGTAATGAATCCATAAAGCATGCTAAGTAAAGTTTGAGCGAATTTTGAAATGTCGGGCCACTTGAGTGAAATGGTCATCTTTGAGCATGACTAACATTGTTTGGTGAATCAGTTACGTCATGCACTCAGCACAAAGAAATACTCCTTTTTCGCTTACTTCAAAGACTGCGCTTCAAGAGACGGCCAAACTGTGGATTCACAGGGTGCGCCACAGTTATTTGCGCGTGTATCATTAAGCGCCATACGAACAGACCGACTCAGCCAGCGGTCAAGCTTGATATTGTTTTCTTGGTTCTACAACATTGTATCCTAGTTAAAAGAAATAAAATTGCCTGTTTTGCTTTTCGGTAAAAATTCATTATATTCCTCTGACTTTGTCGCGTGCTGCACGCGGGTAAAGGCCCATGAAATTGCCCAATATGTATCTTTTTAGTGATCGCTTCTTTCAGGTGAAGATTTCGCCATAAAATAGATCTAATCTTTGACTCTAAGATCACCGAGGTTCGGATTTAGGAGCATTCCAAACAAAAATTTTAATGATGTGCGTCAGCTTGTATTTTTTCTGTTACGAACATTGCTTTTTGTAATTCTTACTTCTCTAAATAAAGACCGATTTGGGATCTTGATAGTGCTTTTTGTAAAGTATGCTTACGGCATTCTGTGACATTAAATCCAGACCAAATTTCTCATTGCCATTGTTGTGGCATTACTTTGAATATTTTGGCAAATAATTTTGCGCACCCTGTAGAAGCAAGCAAAAACCTCATGTCCCATATTTCGCTAATTGTGCTTTCACCAACTATTACTCAGAGCAAAGTAGAGAATCAGGCTCGAATCACTCCTATGTGAACTACGAGATTTAGGCTGTCGAATGATATCTTAGGTTGTAAAGAAAGTTCTGCCAATTCTTCTCGTAAATACCAATAATGAATGCGAATGCAAAGGGCTGGTTTGAAATGTTAGTGTGCGATGGCCCTAGCTACCTAACACGCTATTTAGCTCGAAAAAAATGACAATCAACCAGGAAGAAATGCCCAAAAAAGGAGAAAAATCCGTCGCGCTCAGGTTTGGAAATAGGGACATTTTTCAGATTATGGACGCGCAGAACTTCCAGAAGCTTGATTTAAAAATCCGTTTCAGATCCTGTGTGTTGGCTAGATGAAGCAATATCCTATTACTATAAACAATATCCTATACTATTACTTGCCCCAGTACCCGGGCCTTTTTGCAAGCAAGAAATAACTCATTTAAATTAGGGTTCAAAAAATTGAAACTCTCCACATGTTTTGAAACGCAGCCAGCGCGCTTTTAAAAGAGCATCTATGACACATCTGTCAGTAGTCTAAGATTGTCAGACACATGGCCAAAATATCGCTAAATGACAGCCACTCATGATGAAGATATGAATAAAACAATTTAGCTCAGCGTCTAATGGCAGAACTTTCTTTATAACCTAATAACGTTCGCTAGTAATGTTTTAGTGGCATAATCAAAGAGCATGGCACAACCCCAAAAAATGGCAATCACACCTTTTGGAGGCTGTGCCACATCCTAATAACTGTACGACTAAAAACCGCTGAAAAGATAGCGAGTAGTATTTATGTGATTTGATAGCCTAAATCCCGTAGTTTCACAGAATTGATCTGAACCTGATTTTTCTTTTTCGCTTCGATTAATAGCTGGTGAAAGCACAGCAGCCATCAAAAGCGAAGTATCAAACAAACGAGATTTTGGTTGGCTTGTGTCTCTGCAATTTGGAGGTCTATCTGTGCAGGTTTTCTGAGATGGTTGAGAAGGAGTAGTTCTTTGCATTCAATGCAAGGGGTAGCTAATTCGCAATCGAAATCTGAAGTTGCAGACTGCAGAATTCGCCCAAACTTGGTCCACAGGGCTACTTTAGATCTAATTCTAAGTCTATTACTTATTATTCCTTGTTAGCGCCTCTAAGCTACGCCTATTTTAGGTATGCAATCGTTTAAGGGATTTTATGTGAGACAGCAAGGGGATGGGATCGTACCTAGCGGTGCCACGCCTCTTGCTTGACCTTGCCCATCACTGATCGTGTGCGCATTCTAGAAATGTGGAGGATAGGGCACCTTATCCGCCAGTGCTGGATGTGAAGGCATCTGGCAAACTGCCAGATCGCGTGGCACTGAAAGCACTGAAATTGCTGATTCGTAGCAAAATTCGTAGCAATTCTTCGCGGGTCTATGGCCAAGGCCTTAGACCCGCGAAGAATTGCTCCTTTTTCCTCCATTCGCCCTCTTATTCTCCTCCCCCTTACCCCTTTGCGTATTCGATACGCGCCTGCGAGTACCCAGCCCTTACTCCTCGCTTCGAATCACCGTTTCGTTTACGGTGAGATGGAAATGAGCGCGGCTGTTGTCGTTGAATCGAAAGGGGAGGAGGGCTTAAAAGGAGTTTTTTTTTCGAAGTACGCACAGTAACCATGATTTTGCAGCAAGTACGATAGGCCTCAGTTAAGGCACCTGGACGATGAAATTGTCGTCGTAGGCGAAAACCTAAATGTTGTCATTAAGGTCAATATTCATTATGACCGTACATATTTTCGTCAACTTCAGCGTTTGATTCCAGATATGGCTGCATACTTCGCCAGCTTGTCATACAATAGAAGACAGTCGAATGGTCGAACTGAAAATTCTAAAGATATCAACGCATTACGTGACTGCTATAAGAACCAGAGTAAGTTTAAGTAAATTAGTAGTCATGCAATACTTGTAAACTCAAAGCAGCGTATATATGTTCTTAAGCTCAGGCATTCAGTTAGATTGGCCTACTTTTTCCGAAAATTCCGCAACAGGCAGCAAGCAAATAGTCTTTACTAATAATGTTGAGTAATTAAGCAGTTATATTAAAAAGTTGAGGCGCAACAAAAAAAACCTGAGGAAGTTCGAACAGCCATGCGTTAACCGCATAAAACTGCTGCATAAAAGTACTTGCAGTTTATTTGGTAACTGCATCAGCTCCATGCAAGGTTAATGCCTGCCGATGCTCTCAAGATCAATGACAATTCGAGACCTACTAAGTTGGAACCAAGTCATGCAACTTTTCTGTAGTTTTTCGTTCCTTGAATGTGACACGCTCATTTATTCGCTTTGTGTAGATCAAGACGTGCGCCACAAAATTGCACAGACTGCTTGATCTTTGAAAGTAAAATAGAAACAAGTCATGCGTTTTGGGAATATAAAAACTCAAAAATTCACAGAGCGAGCAAAAATGGGTGCCATTTACTACTAAAATGTTAGACGAATCGTTGTTAGTGGTTGACTTATAATAGTTAAGAAATGAGGATTGATCACAGGTTGAGATGTGGCACCCTTCGAAAGGTCGAACAATGCTTGCTGTACTTGTTGCTTGCAAAGCTGGTACGGGTGCCCGTCAGCAATCTGGAAGCATCACAATAATGAAGAAATAAACGGTTGAGCACAAAGAACATATTCGTTTGCGGTCCAGAGAAATGTGTTTATTGCACCACGAGAAAGACCGTAGTATGTGTAATGAGTACCATTTTTGAACAGTGTCAAAGTAACTCCTCTCTAAGTAATCTCTTATCAGTAGTTTTCCCTCCTTATTGTGTACCTATCGTAAGTTTGGCGGTGAAAGCAGCAAAACACGTCGCCTTCGCGGCTAACTCACAGTCTAAAAAATGCCGAAACTTGAGTGCGTCACATTCAAAAAAGAGAAGTGATAATCAAAAAGTTGAAAGTTTGGTTTCCGTCCTTAAGCATTGTTGCGTTAGCCTGCAGACATGTCTTCATCTAATCTGAGGAATGGTTTTCATCTAACTACACTTATAATTGAAATCGCGGACAGGATGAGGCTCGCGGCGAATTTTTGTTTCCGCTATACGTCTGCACAGAACCGAAATCTACTTCGGACTTCAACTCGGTTGTCATACATCTGCGTGAGTGTATTTCATAAAGACTCAGAATTACTAAAAAATGATACAAGGAGAAAAGTTAAGGTGACCGCGTAGTACGTGGCTTAATTCTCATATATTGTGTATTTCTATTTTTGAGCGCTCTCTTCACAGGACTTAATCTCTCATTAATGTCATTGGATATGGAAGATCTTCGTGTAAGTCGACGAAACGTTGCTTGAAATTTATTAGTAGGTACGTTCCCAGCGAATAAGCGAGTACGATGAGAATCCGAAAACTCGGAAGTACGCGGCAAATATTATTCCCATACGAGAAAACGGAAATTTTACGTTATGCACTATCATACTTGGTATGAGTTGTTTTGTATTTGCAATGTTTAAGAATTCCCAGATTATAGGCAACACTATTTGCAATGCTGTAGTTGTGCTAACGTTTGAAAGGATCACTCATGACCTGGATCTCACTGAATGGCAAAGAATTCTCCTTATTGAAGTTGTGCCATCTTTGTTGATTATTATTTTCTCCGAGGTTATTCCTCAAGTCATCTGCACGAAGTTGGTAAATGCAGTGTCGAAACTATAGTGCATCAATCGCCTTTAGGTTTGCTCTGCCTATTGGTAGTCGCTGTCGTCGAATTATGGTATTTTTTATGGTACTCACATATCCAGCTAGCTATCCGTTATCATTATTACTTGATTGTGTGGTGGGAAAAGGTAGTATGTTCATTCGCATGTATAGTAAAACGTTGAATTACTTAGCTCTGGCAAAACTACAGATAGAATTTCTTTTTCATTTTTCAACATCTTTGCTGTCCTTAATGGGTAATTTTGAGAGGTGCGCATTACAATGGATCGACATATGCTAGGCAGCCTAATGCGACAGCAAAAGTACGATACCGCCAAGATGGCGGACGTGATAGAAAATGCGATGATGCTGGAAGTGAGACGCGTTAAAGACGTTATGACACCTTTAGATAAGGTTAGTAAGCTATTTACAATATCGCTATGTAGAGATATGAGTTCAGGTGTTTATGATATCTGAGGAGACGGAGATTAACCTAAAACTGAAGCAGCAGTTGAAAGAGTTTCGACATACGCGGATTCCCGTCTATAAAGGAGATAAGAATTGCGTAAGTTTTGTGAGTTTGGAATCAGCCTGCTCCGAAAGTTTTTCCTCCAGGTGATTGGCGTTTTGAACGTAAAAGATTTACTATTAGTTGATGAATCTTTGGATATTCATGTGGGAGCAGTGATGCAGTTGTTTAACAGAAGCACTTTGGTAGGGACGAACTCGACTTTTTCGCAGCAGAAGGGCAAGAGTGTTATGCATACAAATGTTGAACCAGTTTGGTTCTTGTACAAGTCCTTTGCAAACGAGACGAGATTCTTCCAACATGGTTGCGTTCATTTTTCATAAATCAACTTCAATCTTCACCTTTTTACTATTTGCCGATTGTAGTCAACAGTTGAATTCAATTAAGAACTAATTTGCTTGGGAGGCGGGAGGTTTAACGAAGCTTCTCCGTGCCTTGAAAAAGTTGTTACATTCGCTAATATTCTTGTTCGTTTTTTCTCCATTTTGCAAGTACGCAGCGTTTGCGACTCCTCCTATCTTTTCAGAAAGAGCTGTAAATTTTTGATATATTAAAAGTCAACTTTCTCAAAAGTCTTGCTAATTTCGTGCTAGGTTCTTAGTCAATTAGTCATATTAAAGATCTCCTTGGTAATGAAAATCATTTCTATACAAACGCGTCTTTGAGCAAATTTTCAAGGTCACTTTTTTGGCCATTTCATGGGCTACTTTTACGAAGCGTTTTTAGTGTTTATTAGAGGGAATTAGTTGCTTATCAGTCATTGATTTATTCAAATATCCGCGACCGAGGGACAGAAGTTTGAACACGCATGTTTAATAGGCCTCTTACAATATTATTCTTAGTCCTTGACAAATATCAAATAGTCCTTGCAAACTTGTGTTTTTATGGTACACACCGCACTTTAGTCGAGTTGTTGAGAGAAACCAAAAAAATAAAAAATAAACTTCTCAACTGATGAAAAAATTGCAGTTCCGTATGGTGACTTCGGAAAGCCCCGTTATACAGTTGATGGTTGAACTAAAAAGAGGATTTCCTCTTGCAATAGTGGTCGATTTTGATCCAGAAAAGAAAAGATATAGCGTAACCGGTATTGTGACCTTGGAAGATAACCTGGAAGAAGTGGGTGATCGAGATAAAAACTCAGCAGCACTTCAATTTCACAGGTCATTGGTGAAATACGTGACGAAAAAGACGTGGTCGGTCAAGTAATCGAAGCTCGTACGGAAAAATCAGGCCCTGTCGATATACAAGCAGAATTGCAAACTTTGAAGAAGTCGAAGAAAAGACCGCTAACCACTGGCCAAGATGTGAGCATCTGTAAATGAGTGCATTTGCATATGGAACGTTTAGGAAATTGTGTCCGAAGAAAAAACTCCACTACTAAAATCTAAATCCAAGCCATTAACACCTACCATATCTCTGACCAAAAAAGTGCTTTAAGTAATGTTGGTACGTATTTTGCATAGTTAACACTTTAGCAGTGCTTCATCGTGAAGTTTTTTTCAGATTAGCATCCTAGACCAATGATAAAGTGGAGCAAACGTCCATTATAATGAATCAAAAATATCTAACAAAAATTGCAATACTTGAAATCCAACTCTATGTTTAATTATAATATTAAGCAACATGCAATAAATCGAGTTTTTATGAAAAGTAAAAGTCATGTTCTACAATACCTAGACACTTTAGCAGCCGCTTCTTTGCACGATTGTAATATGATTCTTGCATGGTACAGTAAGTAAGCAACAGACAATGAAGTTTTGCGATCATTGTTTCCTGAACGGCGTGTCTTAGCATTTGCGAAAGTACCTGCAGACCGAGGAGGTAGCGCCTTACAGCGGTGTTCTGTCCTCGCTCAAATAAAGCGCACCCCTGGCTGAAAACAGTCTTTTTGCAAGGGCGGTTTTCAGCGCCACCCTGATGACGTCTCCTGACATGTTACGCACAGGGGAATCACGCGGCAGTCCTTCCTCTGAGTTTTGCTGAGGCACAAACCGCCGCAGGTAGTCCTGGGTGGGAAACACTACGGACGCGAGAAACACTCTGCACCCATCCCAGACGCTGGTGATGTCTTATTAATTGGGAGAACACGTCTTCCTTTAGACAATGGGAATTGTCTTACTAGTGTAAAAACGTGTTTCCAATTATATGCGTGTAATCATCAGGTCATGCTACTATGAAGTGCTGCATGACGAAGTCGCAATCTTTGGGCGCGAACGCGGTTTTAGCCGCAGAGCCATAGGACGGTTTTTGCAGCGGTGAAGATAGGCGCTCGTCGCATTTACGCCCGCTCAATAAATACTGCTTGCAGTGGCCTTTTTTAGTTTTCGCCTTTGCACCTAGCGCGCCTGAGCAGTTGAAATGACCTTTGACTCTGCATTAGTTTGTGATTTGCAATTTCGAAAGCACGCGATCAATGCTTTTGTGCGACGACGAAGACACGGATAGTCAGTCAACACAGAATGCATATGTCTAAAAAGCTCGGTTATGATGAGATTCAATTGCAATGTTTATACTACGAATGTGAACGTTCAGCTTTGATAACATATGACAGCGCGCATAAGTTATGAACATAAAATCACTTCATCATTTCATCACTTCAAATCATTTTGCACAAAAAACGAATTTCATCGGCCAGTAATTAGTTTCATTCCTCTGCAAGCAATAAGAGTGCAGCTTTGCTTTTGTGAGAGTCAAAAACGGTGACTAAAAGCGCGTTCCTTGAGAATGAACTATTGCTTTCGTATCGATTTGAGTATTGAGGCTAGGTGGAAGTATTTAAAAGGAGCGGGCGAAAACGGCCAGGGATAGAGCTAGTCTCAAACATATGCAGATTTCGCGCTGCGCTTCGGGCCCATCGAAGCAGCAACTCAGGCAGGACGGAGTCGCCAACCACCGCATTGGAGTACTGTTTTCGTTTAGATGGGTTGTTTACTTGGAATTTCAAATAAGACTGTAACAGTCACAAGATAAAAGACTTATATAATATTTGGATAAGCACTTTTTTTATGACCGGCCTGAAATGGTAGGAAAAATCAAGGAATTTGGACCAAACTTTGCACAGATGAAATTCTGGGTGGGGCGAGTGTCACTAAGCTTTTTCAGCGAAAATCGCCAAGTGGCGCTATCGATTTATCGATTTTTTGCGCTTTTTGCTTAGCAATTTCGTTATGACCGGCCTAAAATGTTAGAAAACTTCATTTAATTCAAACGAAACTTTGCACACATGAACTTCGGGGTGAGGCAGGTGTCACTAAGCTTTTTCGCCGAAAATCGCCAAGTGGCGTTATCGATTTATCGATTTTTTGCGTTTTTTGCTTAGCAATTTCGTTATGACCGGCCTAAAATGTTAGAAAACTTCATTAAATTCAAACGAAACTTTGCACACATGAACTTCGGGGTGGAGCCGGTGTCACTAAGCTTTATCACCATATAGAGATTATCGATTTATCGAATTTTGGGTTTCAAACTCTGTTGAGCTGAAAACTGGCAGGAAGGGATAGCTAAGCATGGCCAATTCGAATAAAATATCTACAACTTTAACCACTAAACTTTTTTAACCTTTTTTCCTAAATTTTTGTATGCCACATTCTGGAGGCTAGCTGATATTTAACTATGCATTGACCTTTCGCAACGGGTTTTGTCGACTGCATAGCTCATCAACAAAATCAAAATGGTTCATCCGCGAGATCAAATATGACCACCAAATCAAAATACCCTATCCCGGCCTTACGGTTCATTCATACCATGCCTTCATCGGTCGTACCTCCTTCAACTTTTACACCCGAAACATGGCGCCGACATTGACCCCCTAGCAATGGACCCTCCACCTCCACACCTCAGTCGCAGGTGCACATCGCCGAATCCGAGGCCGTACTGCAAAGCGCACTTTTGAAGCCAGCGTAGCCGTCTTCGTCGTAGCCGAGAAATACAGAGGCACGAGAACGGTGTCTTGCCTCAATGCGTGAACGTCATCTACGTCGACGGCAACAGGAACCACAGCTTAACAGACGCCTTCAGGAGACACTGGATCAATCCAGGCATGGTGCGAGCCCAGAACGGGTTGGCCAACGACGACACGTGCCAATCGACGAGAACACAGCACAAACGATCTTTGCGCTTGACTCGCGGCAACAAGTGATTTTTGAACCGGCACCTACCTCCACCCCCTTCCGCAGATGCACATTGCGCAGAGAACTCGAGCACGTGGCACAATGCGGAGCTCCGTAACTGCACATAACCGTCTTCACCATGGCCAGGAAGCACCAGAGGCCCAAGAAGAGCTTGCCCCGGTGCACGTAAGTTACCTTCATTGTCGCCAGCACTACCACTTTTCAAAAAGATATCGATGAGATATAGATTAGATTTATAGGTTGATTTACCCCTTTTTGATGTTCGTTCACGATGGATAGAAAAAGGATTATAGGATTTAAGGCAGATTTGGCAGACGTAATGCATGGTGTGCGCCGTTGTTAATAAGCCATTTTGTTCGATACACACGGTTTGTTGCTATCGATTTATGGATTTTTGCACTTTTTGCCTAGAAATTATCTTTGCTTGAAAACGATAGAAGGAGTTATGGAATAAAGACCAAATTTGCCAGGCATAACGCATGGGTGGGATGTGTGCCGTTTTGTTCAAATATAATGACCGACCCTTTCAATTTATTGATTTTTTGCAGTTCGCGTAATATCCATTGCTTAGTGTTAATTCGAAATAAACCGACAAAGCCGAAATTGCCCATGGTTGTTCTTTCTGCGACGGTTATAAACGAAGTAGTTCGTGCAAAATGGCAAATTTTCTGCATTTTACTTTCAATAAAGAACAAAAGGAAAGATTTACCGGAAGCGAAGCTGCCGTGTACCAGCCGAACCTGCCGCGTAGCGGCAGAGAGCGGCTGGTAAAAGATATTCTGTTAGGCTGCGTTCATACTGATCCCGAAGTCCCGGGAACAGTTCCAGCACAGCACTCAGTTCGAGCGCTATGCTGGAACTGTTCTCGAACTTCCCAGCAGTATGAACGCAGCCTTAGGCGTAAAGCCCGCTCTCATGAAATCCCAGCTCTTTCAGAACTATGCGAAATGCTGTAGCAGGAGTGTGCTTTATGTCTTTTCTTGCGATTACAGGTCAACAGCCAGAAAGCGTCGTGCAGTTGGGTCCAAGACAAATATCGTGTCAAAGAAAAGTGTCGGAGGGGTTGGGCAACATCCCATCTTAGTCTACATCTCTGTTGATTCATCATCCCAAGGTCAAGCGCGAAGTCATCCGCACTCGACATGGATGTTGTTTTTTGTTAATGGAAATGAGAAGGAAAGAGGAGGAGTGGTCGTAAATGCGAACAAAATTGTTCAATGCATCGTTCATACTTCGCGTCGCCGCGCGATTCGGCGTTGCTACGATGGGTCGTGGTTTCTCGTTAGCGCATTTTTGGTAGACAGGATTCGACACTCTTGCATCGACTCATGCAAACTGTGCGCCTATGCATTCGACATCTGCGCTCGGTTGATTAGTAACATCTATCGAGTCGCAACAATAGCGAATTTCCGTAGTGGCGCTATGTGTGACCGAGGCTAAGGACCGAATGCATGTACTTCCCCGCCGGGAGGGCAACGCAGCTTAAAGGCAGCGTCCACCCAAAACCTATCCATCCCAGATTACTACTTATCCTATAGCAGGTCCTAAAAGGCAACTGCGTTGGTCCGGTTCTTTAATGCTGCCCACAAAAGGAAATGCGAACCTGGATCCCTTTTGCGCTCCGCCATTATTTTATTGTAAGCTCAAGCATACATGTCATCAAAAATTTTTTCGTTGCAAAGGTCTATTTGAGTTTTGGAGAGCTCCGCCCACTCAAGGATTGCGCCATGACTTCTTCTGACATGACAGGCAACGTCGGGAGATACTTTGTGATGTGGCACCGTTGTACACGTCGAGGTTTCTTGTTGCAAACGATGTGACTAGCGCCGGAACGCTCGTCCACTTCTGCCAAAATAGGACTTGAAAAGGGGCAATTTTAGATCATCCTGGTTGAACTTCGTGTCCGAAATTAGCGCCATGAAAAGGCCCGATAACAGTAAAAACTGGAAGACGAGAATTTGGGTGGACGCTGCCTTCAAAGAAAGTTTCATATTTTTTAGCTTTGGAGTTATAAATTTGGCATTATCCATGCGTTCTTGAGTGTTCTATTATCCTTTACTATAAGAATGTTGAAGCGTATTGTTCCTTAAGTTGCATTTTCCCACTATATATTTGATAATTTGACGATCCGCGCATGCCGAACGTCTTTATTTCTGGAACCATTTTTATTTTGAAGTCAGTGAAAACATCCCGGAGTTGTACTTGTGTGACTCGACAGTGTTGAATATGTCTTTGATAAAAGCAACCGATTTATCATAATATTGGGATATTAGATAATCCCAAGTTTCGATTAGGGTTCAACGATCA